AAAAAAAAGAAGAAGAAGAACTCTTCTATGTACAAAACTGACATGAATAATAAAAATATTATTAAGCTACATATTTCACTGAAAAATTCATGCCATTATGCAATTCATGCACAGTGAACTCTTAATTATCCACAAAGGTGAAGGGGAGAAGTACTGCAGATAATTAAAAACAATGTATAATCCAAAAATATGAAAACATGAACTATCTATACTGCATTCAACCTTGATAATTATTATTATCAGTTGTGCTACTGGTCAGTTAACAGTGAGACAAGTATCTTTCCAATAAATGAAAGCAATTTTTATTCACTGGCAGCAGCATGAGAGCCAGTCTGAGAAGGAAAGCTAGGCATCTAACCCTTTCTGGATGTTTGGAAAAAAGCAAAACTGCAAAAAGGAAGTATACCAAATATTAACATAAAAAATTATAATTATTTAAATAAAATGTTTTCTTCTATGCTGAATACCCTATGGTGATCACTGAAATTAGTCTCAAATGGCTTAAACATAAATTTGAAAGCAAATTTTCTGGCTGCCTTCTCCATGGAAAATCCTGGTGGCACCCACAGGTGGTAAGGCAATGGGAAAAAGAATAAATTAAAAATAATAAAATCATAATATTCTGAGCAGCTGTACAATTTACTGAAAATCAATGTAAAGCATCACTAAAATAGATGTAATGGACAACACTTAAACCATTACAGGACATGATAATGAATCATGAAGAATGAAGAACAGTCCAACAGTTAATTCACAAAGTAGTTCATCAAGAGTCTACTGTACTCTCCATTACAAAACTAAAGAAAATACAGGCAAATATAGTACAAAAAATCAGATTTGTGAAGAACTAGGACATCAATGAAAAACTTTGCATCCAAGGTTTAAAAAAAGAGACAGCAGCAGGTATAAATTTTGAAACATTTGGGAAGACATTGTATTTGACATGGTTTGGTAAGAACAAATTTCCATCATTATTACATTATTACTTACACAGAAAAAAAAAAGGTGTTACTGAACTTGTGAACATTTCATTACTTCATGTTAAAGAAATGAAATTCAATGCAGTTTCAATCTCATGATGCTTGGCTCAAACAAGAAACAGCCCAAGCATGATGGCCAATGATATAACACATGTTTAAAAACTAAATACAGTTTACCTACCTACCACTCGGCGCTATAACCCTGGGCGAGCCTTGGGCTCCTCTACAACCAGCATCCATTGCTCTAACTACATATAGCATTATTTTCAAATTTAGGTCCTTTCATTCAAAATTTGAAATACTGTAGAGCAGCTATTTCCTATGTCAAAAATTCAAATGACTCATTTATGCATAAAGACTTACTATTCAACATAAATCTATTAAAAAATGTACCTTTAACTGCCTACTGAGTAATAACAAGCTAAAACCCCCACATTTCTTTAGATCAATAATATAGGCCGAGTTATAAGCTAACATGCAGCTTTACAAAATCAATTGTTATATGTTGATGTTGATGATGATGAGGATAAAGGAAGAGGAGATGAAAGAGGGTATTACTAATCTGTGTCAGAAGAGAACAAAGCTACTTTTTATATTCTTGCTTTATTAATGAGCTTTCAACAGTCAGGATTAAGCAGCATCAAATCATAGGATATTTAGCAAATAATTAATAGGAAGGAATGTGAGAGAGAGTGGTTGGGGCCTGATTTAAGGTAACATCTTAGATGGACTGAGGAAAACCATCAGAAACAGACTAGCTGATCTCTTGGCCGAGATCTGAACTTGAGACCTTCTGAATATAAAGCAGAAGGTAGGATGACCAAATCCATTCTCTTAGGCAGAAGAATATAAAGCTATGTATTATGACATGTAGGTGGTTTACCCTGAAAGATGAATTAGTAGGTGTGTGAGAGCTGTAGCCTAAGTCATCAGAAGCAGCCATCCTAACTCTTTGCCTCTTCCTGCAGCGATCATGTGAACCCAGCACAGGGCTACCAGGCGCCACTGTAGACACAGTACTGCAGTCTTTAACCTCAGAGCAGACCAGAGCAGCAGGGGCAGTGTCCCGGTCATATAAAATGTCTGGGCAGGACATGTAGTTCACTATCCAGGCTGGAGAACTGAATACTGTCTCATCTGCTAACAGAGCAGCTGCACTTTCTTTCACCTCCTGAGTAAGACTCATTGACTCTTTATCTCTCTTGCTATATTCCTCACTTACACAGTCAGATGGAGAAGTGGCTATCCCTAAATCATCTCTTTCATTATCGTTCACCACTTCAGTACCAGTAATGTCTGTGCTATAACCATGAACCCGAATAAGTGACCTGTGCTGCAAATTTCTTTTAACATCAGGTGTATTCATAAATCCATTCAAGGTCTCTGCTTCAGGACAAGTCTCTTCTGAAATAAAAGTGTTTTGTTCAGAGCCTTGCATCTCTCTCTGACTTTCATTTAGAAAGAATGGTTGGAAAGAATTTATCTGCTTTGACTGAGGTACTTTAAACAATACATTTAATTCTTTTTGATCAGAAACTTTTCTCGAAAATTTTGGCTTAACTATTCTTGGCTTATCCTTAGAAACCGATAACGCTTTTAACCTCAAAGATGACTCTGAAGCCAATAGGGATTTTTCAAATGCTAAATAATTTGTCTCACTGGTAACTGTACACATACCAGATTCCTTCACTGCAATAAACTGTTTGTCTATATTCAGAGCTTCACCTAATATGGAATCATGCTTTCCACTTGCAGGTGATAATCCCTGCAGAATTGGTGAAACCATTTCTATTTTTTCAATTAAATCTGAACCATCTCCTTCATGACAATATCTTTTCATACAAGCTGCTTCTGCTTCTGAAATCAAAACTTTGGATTTATACAAAGATGTAGCTGATGTACAAACACTGTTGCCACTAACTGTTGAGGGTCCTTGTAAAACTGATGAGCCATGGTTTTGTCTGTCTCTCAATTCTGCAATTCCAGTCTTTTTGTTTGGAAGTGCAGAATTGGTTCCTTTTCCACTGGAAGCTAAGGATTCTAGTAAACCTACTGAATGTGGCTCTTTCTTCTCTTTTAAATCTGAAACTCTGGTTTCATCCTTGTCTATATCTGTAAAAGGTTCCTCCTCTGAGAACAACAGTTTGGCTCTATTCAAAGCCTTCGCTGATACAGAAACTCCCTTCCCACTAGCAGTTGAAAATCCTTGTAAAACTGGCGCATGTTGCTCTACACTTTCTTTTAATTCTGGAACTCTTGTTTCATCCTTGTCTATATCTGTAAACGGTTCCGCCTCTGAGAACAACAGTTTGGCTCTATTCAAAGCCTTCGCTGATACAGAAACTCCCTTCCCACTAGCAGTTGAAAATCCTTGTAAAACTGGCGCATGTTGCTCTGCCCTTTCTTTTATTTCTGGAACTGCTGTTTTATCCTTGAATATATCAGTACAAGAACCCTCCTCTGAGAACAACAATCTGGCCCTGTTCAAAGCCTTGGCAGATACAGGAACTCTCTTTCCACTAGCAGTTGAAAATCCTTGCAAAATTGTTGCTCCTTCTTTATTTGTCTCCTTTAGTTCTGAAGCTTTAATTTCATCTACAGATGCTATTTCTTCTTCCAGAAACAAGTTGGCTGTATTCAAATCCTTATTTGGCTCAAGGACTCTTTTTCCACTTTCAGTTGAAAATCCATGTAAAACTGAGGAATCAGGTGTCTCTGATTCATTTAATTCAAAAGGCTTTGTTTCATCCTGAGCTAATTTTTTACATGTTTCTTCCTGTAAAAACGGGAGCTTGGCTCTACTCAAAGCTTTGATTGACACACATGTTTTATTGCCATTTGAAGTTTTAAAGCATTGTAAAACTGGTGAATCTTGCCTTCCTCTTTCTTTGAACTCTCTAATTCCTGTTTGACATTCAGTTATTGTTGTTATATCAGCTTGTGAAATAACAAGGCTAGACGTATTCAAAGCATCAGAAATTTGTATCACATTTGTAGTTTTACATTTCTCAAAAGATAGTACTTTCTCATTCATCTTTTCCATTTCTATAGGTTCTGTTCCAAGTTCACTACTTTCAAATTCATCACCTGAAAATAATAGTTTTGCTTTACTCAAAGCCTCAGATGACACAGTAATATTCTTCCCACTTGCAGTTGTAAATCTTTGTAGAACATGACATTTCTTCTTGGTTCCTTCTGATACAGAATATTCTGTTCCACTATCAGAAGACTGCACATTTTGCATTGTACTGTCTATATTAGCATCAATTTCTGAAAACACTTGCTCTACATTTCTTATTGCTTTTGCTGGTGCATCCATGTTCCTACCACTGACAGCAGTATTGCTGTCTACTAGCAGAGCATTATCAGAATTCAATACGCTTTGAACATAATGTAATGAGTCTCTGTGGTTTTGAGCAATTCCACTAAGCTTTAGATGTTCCACTGATGTTTCATCGCCATCTTCAAATAAATGTCTAGTATCTGTCACAGGTTCTTGAGCACAATTATCATTAGATGACAACAAACTGTTTATTTCAAAATTATCAGTTCCTCCCATTTTCTCTAACAAACTACATCTGCTAACAGCTGTGTTCACCTTCATCAATTTATCATTTCCAATATCACTTGCAAAATCAATTGCCTGAATGTTTTCAGATTTTTGTTGTTTATCTTCTGTTTCAGAGGACTCCAGGGTATACATTGAAGGTGTACCTAATAATGAAGGTTTCCTTCCAATGGCTCTTGGGAGTTCTGTTGCCTCAGGATTTTCAGCTAGAAGACTAGTGTCTGTTTCTGATGTCATGTTTTCCTTTATTCCACTTTTAGAAACAACCACTGTCTCCACTATAAGGTCATGTGACATATCACACTCAGCCACTTCTGGTTGTCCTTTTTGTATTCTGTCACCTGGTGTAGTCTGCTCTCTGTGATTAACATTTAATATGTTATTTTCAGGTTTATTTTCTGGCATTTGGACTCTATTTTCGATTTTGAAACCTTCCAAATTGTCACTGAAAAGCTCACTGATAAGTGAAGCGTTTAATACTGCTTCCATGTGAACTTCCTCATTGCATGTTTTAACTTCATTAATGGAAACATCGCCTCCAACCTTCATGCTTTGTACGGTTTTGTAACAAGCACTGCTTTCCTTTTCCCCTCTTATTGTGCCATCATCAACAATGTTCTTTTGATACATTTGCCTGGCTTTTTGCAAATCTTGTTCTGACAAATCTATATCCTTACTATCAAAAGTGTGCAATGCAGTTAATTTATTGAACAAAGATTTAGTTTTACCATCAGACATACCAACATCTTTTGGTGGATTTCTATTCGCATGACTAGAGCTGAAAGTTTCCTTTTGCTCTGCTGACACACTTCCTCCCCCTCCACAAAACCTGGGTTCAGTTGGTGGACTAATAACCTCCTCACATGTCTCAGTTCCTTGTTCACAAACTTCACTGGGCCACTCACTGAAGATGCTTCCATCCTCTGCCAGCTGTTGCATCAACTCAGCATGTTCAGCAGCAAACACCATCTCTGAATCTGTCATCATGTTTTCTTGCTCTCTTCTGTGTTCCAACAAATTCAGTATGTTTTCCTCAGTTACTGTTTCACCCTGATTATAATTCTGATGGGTTTTTGTTTCTGTATGCATTACTGTTTCTGGTTTATTAATATTCCTATGACAAATCACAGGGGAATTTATAACATGACATTTTTTGTTCAGAATATGTTCTTGTCTAGAAACTTTATCAAACACATCATCAGATTTATCCTCTGATGTGACATTACTCTGTTCACAAGCAGCCCCATTTGATGAATGAACAGCACTGACCTTGGTATCCTTCAATTCTTCACATTTTAAATTGTCTCCAGGAACCTTAGAAGCAATATCTGGGACCATATGCATCTTCTCTTCTGCCATTATATCATCCATCAATCTCATGGCTTTGTGGAGAGCTTCCTTTGAAAATCTGATCTGCTTTCCTGTACCTGTCTTGAAGCCCATCATTTTTGTACTCTGGTTTAGACTAGAAAATTCCATTTCTTTCTTGCTACTTGAAGCTAACTCCTCCAGTGGTTTGTTTAAATGCTCTTGCCTATCACATGTGACATCTGAAGCATTAAATAATTCTTCTGTTTCAAAGCTTTCCTGAAACCTTTCTGCACCATGCAAATCTTTTATTAAGATTCCTGATTGTTCTTCTGGTCCACAAGCTTCAGGATGACAGGGTGCAGAAGAATCTTCATTGCATTCTGCATTCATATCACCATCTACATCAATGAATTCCTTCATACTATCCTGATTACTTGAACTGACGGCCTGACCATATGTTTTTGCAATGCTGCTACTTCCAATGTTCCTTCTTGCAATCATATGGTGGTTACTAGATCTCAAGCCAATATCAGGCTTGCCAGTACCATCTGATATATGTGTTGCTGTATCTACTTTCTTCAAATCGTCAGCAGATTTGCCCTTGGTCACAAATCTAGAGGGTTCTTGTAGGTTACAAAAAGGTATGAATCCTTGCCTGTCATTTGAAATATTTAATTTTCCTGTATCATTATGACTTGCCTTTATTCCCATCACATTTTCCATGGCCTGAGCAGATTTCACAATGTCTTCCACAAAAACATTCAAACCTTTGTCTTGTGTGCTGGCTACTTTAATTTCTACACTGGTAGGTACATATGTGAATTTCTTAATCTGGTTAACTGCCATCTTGATGCTCTGCACTCTTGAAGCAATATCTACAACACTGTTATTATCAGATGATTTGAATATGTCAGTAGCCTGCTCCAGAGCAGATTCACTCCCATGTGGTAACTCACTGAACTCATTCTGTTTCTGAATATTTTCCTTCTCTATTCTTACATTCTCTTCATGTCTGTTTGGCTTCTCATTGCCAGGAACACGCAGAAACTTAATTCTTTTCTTTCCTTTTCCAGAATCAAACTTGCTATCTTTATTTCTGTGAACAATTGGGGTTGATGTTCTGCCTAAATATGACTTGTCTGGAGAGGATAATAGAACACACCCAGGTGTTTTTGTATTCTTATTTGAATCTGTAAAACACTGAGGATATTCAGTAGGAGTTTCGGTACCAGCAGCCAAAAGTTCTGTCACTTGGCATATTTCTTCCAGTGTGTTGAATGATAAGTCTTGAGGAAAGTCTTGAGTTAAATGGATAGATGATGCAGCAGTTACTTCAGTTTCACTTGAAGCTGCCGGATTATCTTGTGAACACCTTACTGTAACTAGAGATCCTGAAAATTTTTGAGTAATTTCACCACATGCTACAGCACCACTGTCTTCTTCTAATTGTGGTGCTGCTGCTACAAGCTGTGTCTTACAACCCTCTCCTCCTGCACGAACCCCTGTATATCCATCACCATGAAACAATCTTCGTGAAACCATCAGTCCTGCGCTGACATTACCCGCAACAGATGACTTACCAAAGTCAATTTCAACACTATTTTCAGTAAAATCATTCATACAAGAATCTGGAGACTTATTCAGACTATGCTTTCTGAGTTTACTGTATTGACTTTCATTTCTGGTACTACCAGAGAAACAAATTTCATGTTCTATATACTGAGATAAATCTGATTTCATTCCTTCAGAAAGTTTTTCGCTATCTTTTGTTTCATTACATTTCTCTGTCATGTCCATACTTAAACCTGCTGTGCGTGATGACATTTCTTCTAATCTAACCACATTTCCACATTTTTCTGTTAAAGAAGTACGATTATTTTTCTTACAAACAACTTTGTGGTTAGGAACAGAAGAGTATAAAGTATTTTCTGTGCTTGACAGCAAAGAATCCTGTTTGTTTAATTCTCTTTTATCCACAACTGAATCTGCAACTACAGATGTAGATTCTGAGATATCCTGTGACACCTCCTCATCCAAACCTACTGGCTCAGAGCAATCTGCAACATCCAGGCTGTTATCCGGTGAGAACAAAACTCGTGCCTGCAAGAGAAACCGTCAGGAAATAAATTTATGTAATACATGAAATATAATTCTTGCTAAGATTGTGTATCACACAGGAATTCAGACTATTGCTATATTAGTCCCTCCTGCACAATTGGACATATCACAACAGATCTGCTGAACAAATATTATATGGTGAAATTCCAATTTTGTGAGTCTTGTTTCAGGTTTTCTCCTCTTATTGTGTTCCATTTATATGTTCTCTGCTCAATGATTTGTGTCAATTTCTTTCTATTAAAGGTTTCTACATGTTCAGTGTTCAATTCCTACCATCTTAGCACAGTGGTGAATTTTCCACCAGTGAAAATTTCTTTCAGGTGTATATTAAAACTGACCATGTCTGAAAAATATTAAATAAATTATTAATAAATATAATATTAATAATTATAATAAACTAATAGATATTAAATATTGTATCATATATGACAATATTAATAAAATAAAAACACTTTTGCTTGTATCTTGTTAGGACTCAATTCCAATTACTTAAATTCCTGAAAGGAAAGATAATAACATAAGAAACACATGGCTGAATTGAAACATTCTTCCAAGTAGCCAAAATGTTTCACTGTCATCTGTTGTTTTACATGTGACAGTCAATATAGATGTAACACATTGTTCCTTATAGCAACCTTGATTTGTTACATAAATGTTTCACTATTCTTATCACATCAGACACTGTGATTTTATAACTTACATTTCTGGAGCTGCTGGTTGGCATAAGAAATTTCCTTTCAGTGGAATTCAGACTAGACCGAGTGACACTGCTGGCAACTGGTGTCACAAATTCACTGTTCCATGAAATATCACTTCCTTCCTGCAGCAAAGGTTCTAAACTTTTAGGAATGGTCCCAATTCCCATTGTCAAGGGAGGAATAGGACTCAACCTAAACAAATTTGATACAGATGACAAGAAAATTTCCATGATGATTTCATTCTACCCCCCCCCCCAAAAAAAATAGAGAGAGAGAGAGAGAGAGAGGAGGAAGAAGAAGAAGAAAATAAGCTAATGAAATAGCTCAGCCAATTAAGTGATTTGCAACAAGCTGGAAAAGTAGTGTTTGATTCCTGATATAGGCAGGAATTTTATTCTTTGTTAGTGCTAGGCCTCACCCAGCATGCTCTCCAATTGGTTGAAAGGCATTTATTTTGACAGAAAAGCAGTAGAATTGTGAATATGATCACTCACATCTCACATAGTATTTATGTTTAGAATGTGTGCAACTTTCTTTCAAGGTCCAGTACCTCATGGATCTGTGTGCAGAAACCACACAACTATACTTTATTCCAAGCCAAAAGGATCATATTCCCACCCTAGTTTTAGAAGATTTATTTTAATGTTATTCACCAATGTATGCTTTGTTCTTCTAAGTATTAACTTACCTTGAAGTTTCTCAATAAAAAAAATTATGTTTAGTTTTCATTTCCCCTTGCATACTACATCTCCCATCCATCCCTTCCTTCTTCACTTATACCCCTAACAATATCACTTGAACAGTGGGCATAATCAAGCTCCTCCTTATGTAATTATCTCCACCACTTTGTTACTTCACTTTATCAATTTCAAAGTTTCTAGGTAGCACACTGGAAGATAAATGATACTGAATACAGTGATATTAAACACTCCTTTAATTTTCCTTGTATGATTTCCCTGTATTTAATTTCATAAAAACTGAATTAATAAAAGGTGACGTGTTCATAGCCTTTTCCTTCCACTTCCAAACACACAGTATGAACAATTAGGGCAACTGATGGCACATGCACTCAGAAGACTTGTGAAAGTATCACAAATAAAAAGTACGTGGGTCGTTTCATAAATAATGCACAGGTTGGCAACATTGTGGATTAGATGACCCAACAACAGTGAGCCTCACGTCAGTTACAGTTCAGGGTTTGAGAAAGAAGCGCATTATTTTGTTTCACTTATAATGTACTCTGTTCTTAAATAACGTGAGTCAGAAATGGAGCCTGCACGGTTCTCGTGTAATGTGACTGTTGAAGATCAAAGGTCGTACGTTAAGATCAAAACTTGATGTGGAAAAAACCCGACAGAAATCGACAGTGCTTTAAGTGAAGTTTGTGGAGAGTTAACAGTGGACTGCAGCACAGTTTCTCGCTGGGCTAGTCGTTTTGTGGTGGTCATGTGAGCATAAACGATGATCCAAGGCCAGGAAGGCCGAAAACATCAACAGATAAACGAAGTGTGAAACTTGTGTCAAATGCTCTTGAAGAAGATTGTTGTGCGACATGTGAGGAACTTTCTGAAACCACGGGGAGTCCACCAACGCCAATATTCTGAATTCTGACAAATGATTTAAAGAAGAGAAAGATTTCTGCTCGATGGGTCCCTCACTGCTTGACTGCTAAACAGAAGCAGAAACGCCTCGATATTGCAACCTTGCTGAAACAAAGATTCGATGTTGAAGGTCAAGCATTCTTGTATCGACTTGTCGCTATTGATGAAAAGTGGGTTAGAGACTTTGAACCGGAGCTGAAATCACAGTCCAACGAGTGGAGAGGTCCATCTTCCCCATGACCAAAAAATATTGACGATCTCAATCAAAGGTCAAACAAATGATGATCTTTGCTTATGATCACCAAGGAATCATCATAACAGACAGAGTGCCATGTGGGAGAAGTGTCACAGCAGTCTATTATTGTGACTTTATGCGAAATCTGCGCAGAAAAATGTACAAAAACCGACCTGTTGCGCGAGGCTGGGCCGATCATTCTCCATGACAATGCTCGCCCGCACATTGGGAATGTCATAACAGAAAAGCTGCACCAATACGGTTGGGAGGTGTTGCCTCATGCTCCTTACAGCCCGGACATGAGTCCACCAGACTTCGACTTATTCCCAAAGTTGAAACAACCTATGCGAGGCCATAATTTTCCCTCTCTGGAAGGGCTTTGGCTGCAGTTACATGAGCCATTCGACAGATACACAAAGATGGTGTCCTGGATGGAATAGTAAAGCTTCCCACATGTTGTCATTCAGAAGCAGGGGGACTATACTGAAGGACTGTAAAGAGATATTAAAAAACAAAATATACATGGACGTAAACAAAATATTGTGTGCGTTATTTCTGAAATGACCTATGTATGTATGCTAGATGTTAGCCAATGAGTAAATAGAAAATATGTTACACAATGTTTGGAAAAGGACAGGCAGAATACAACACAAATGATGAAAGCTATACATGTCACAGTGAAAACTCTCACTAAAAGAGAAAGAGTGAGCCACAAGCTTCATGTGAACAATTTCTTATTCTCTGCAGATGTGTCTGATGACTCGAACCTGATCATTGGATTGTTGAGGGCTGGTCAGACAAAATCACAAAGGGATGATAGGGCTTGGCTAATAAGACACTAAAATTGAAACTGGATTACATTCATATTACAGTAATAGGTAACTTGAGAGCAATGATCTGGAAAAGACAAGCACCATGTGTCTATATTGACAAATACACATAAACCACTAGCACAAGGCAGCTTCTGTGATAAACTGTGAAAGTTCAGAAACCGGTCAATGTTGAAGAGTACAACTGGCAATGAGCTACACTGACAAAGGGGAGAGAATAACTAAAAGCTATTCAAAACAGCCATTTCTAAGCAATACACACGCAACAATGGGGGTTATGCAACCTGCTCATAGGCAACGGCTCAGTAAACACACTTCCACGCAGGCACAATGATGTCACACTCTTACGGTGCTTAGCTATCATGTGACATATGTATATCTATAACTCAATATATATGAATATTAAAAGATTAACTTACTTTGATGATTTAAATTGTGAATTCCAATCCATTTCCAATGATCCATCACTGCCTGGGCTGGTAACTGTTCATATAAGTAAGAAATTCAAATAAATGTTAACACAAATGCAATTGTCCACATATCCTAACGAGTATCAAATATAGGGTGATTCACGAAGTTTTACCCCGACTTATGGTACATATTCCTGGGGTTATTTCCTGCAAAATTTCCTTATAAACTTGTGGTCGATTTTCAGTAGTTACAGAATAACAATGGATTTTCGAAATGCATCATTGTGAGTGCAGCGCTATGCCCCCCTCCCAACTGGGCGACCATGCGTTCCAGTCAGCTGTGTCAGCAGATAATGCAGACCAGCTGGAATGTTGCATGTAGGTAGGCAGTGTTCCAGTCGTAAATAGGACGTTGTGTTGGTGACTGTGAAGTTAAGATGCTGTACACATTTTCCACTGAGGAATATGCCGATATGGTGTTTGTTTTGGGTGTATGTGATGGAAATGCGGGAGCTGCTGCTGCCAAATACGACCAGTGTTATCCTAATTGCAGGATTCCGAATCCTAAATCTATTAGCAGTACATTCAACACATTAAGATAAACTGGTTCTCTCCCCAGCGTTCATATACAATACGAACGAAATCCTCAACATGAATTGTGCGAAGAAGAAAACATTCTCGATGCTGTAGAGCACAGTCTGCTTGCCAGTACAAGACGTCTAGCTCGGCGGTTCAGTGTTTCTCAGTCCATGGCGTGGAGGACTCTTCATTAGAACGGGCTGCATCCTTATCATTTACAGCCAGTACAACATCTACAACCAGGAGACTGTGCTCTTCGTCTGCAGTTCTGCAACTGGTTAATAATAATAAGACAATAATCCCCATTCCACGATAGAATCGAATTTTCAACACCGATTCAGCGTCAATGTCTGGTGTGGTGTTCTGTATGATCAGCTAATCGGGCCGTTCATTTTATCGCATTTGGGGCTGGATGAAGGACATTGTGTACCAGGTGAAGGTACAAACACGTGAAGTGTTGCTTGAACGTATTCTGGACGTGGCGATGACAATAAGGAACAAACGTGTGGAACTGTGAAATGCTACGAGCATGGTTCATACGTGTGTGATGCGTTTGTGATGATGTGCAGGGAGAAATTTTTGAAAAACTTATGTAAATCCAGTCGTCTTCTAAAGCACTATAGTTTAAAGGAAACAGATTGATAGAAGGGTGTGATATGCAACCATTGGTATGTTTACAGAATGGGGTGCTGAAAATAATGTAATTTTGTAACATAAAATTGATGAAAAATGTTGCACAATGCAAAATTAAGAAATTAAAAAAAAAATGGTTTTAGAATGCTTCTTTCCTAAAACATTAACGATTTAAAGAGTGTTTGTATTGTATTTCTAATTTGTTTTGACTGAAATTCGAAGAAGAAAAGATTTTTCGCCAGTTTTCAAATTACTGTATCTCTTTAATTATGAGTTGGATACCATCAGTATATTAACATTTTTTGTTCCAAGTTACCTCAGGAATGCCTTCCCTAAGTGGGGGTAAAACTTTGTGAATCACCCTGTATAGGCTTCACACTGGAATATAAAAAATTTTAAGTTAATTGAGAAGTGTGTTTGTGACAAATGCCTAAATACTTTAATTTCAAGACACTTTACTTCTTGGACCACCTCACATGAAAAAAACACAGAACTCAGTCACAAGCAGTAAAACCTGCCCATAATAGCACACACATTATTGAAAAGTGAACTCAGTGAAGTACACATTTTCAAAACACATTCCTTGCTAGTCTGCAAACTTATGACAGATAACACATTGTAGAGCTAATAATCACATTACAGATAGCATACAGCTCAGGTAGAAACTGTTTTCCTCTGACTCCACTAAATATTTACCAAATTAAAAATCTTACCAAATAAAAGTTGCAGTGCTTACCTAGATAATTTTATGCAACATACTCTTTTTTTAAATGAGCTATTTTGGGGAAAAACTGATAAATATCAAACTACACTTCAAGTGAAGTGGGGATATGTGTTCAACACAAACCAAAATTAAATTAGGTCACAAGTTTCAGTGTAGACACTTCAGTATCACATATCACTGAAATCTGTTCAATAGCAATATAGGCAAAACATTCAGACAGGCAGACACACATGACTTTAAAATTATGTATTCATTTTATAAACTTCATACAAAGAATACATACAAATGGATATGGGAATTATATAATTACATTTAGAAGCTTCTGGCCTAGGTAGTATTACCCGCGATTGTACACTATATAAAGAGGCAGAATTTAATTATACTGTCAGTTGTTTTTGACAAAGCTGTTACAGTTCTCTTCTTTTATCATCATACATAAAAGCATAAATCTGTCAGTTAGTTGATATACACACGTATTATAAATGTACTGTCACAATTTTATGCAGTGACTATAGATGGGGTTTGGATTGGTAATTGCATTTACTGAACACTTACAGATCATAACTACAAGTAACTACAGCGCTATCACTAATTCATGCACTCTATAATTCACTACAGCACACATTAAGTCTTCTCAGTTTGCTGCATCTTCACCAGCTGTTGCCTGGTTATGGCTACAATGCCGCTGCTTCCTCAGCTTCCATGTTCACATCCTTACTGGCAGGCAACTGTCTCACAACTAACTAAACTGTAGACTTGTCCTTATAATGCCTTGGCACGGACAGCATAGAAAATACCTCTCAATAGTTCTTCTATTGTTGTGTCACATAGCTGTCGCATGCACTGCATAGAGAACAGCACTTACCAGTCATTCATTGGTGTGTTATGAATCTGTTGCAGCCATTACCGAGCAATGGCTGTTGTTTACAGAGTCAATAGTTCATCGTAACACAAATATTTAAAGACACCAAATATGAAGAAAGTGTAATAACTTACAGTACCATACCATAAACATTTCATTCCACTAATACTCATCTCTATAAGAGAATTGACCCCATACTGAGCACACATGTGCTGATGAATCTCTATACCTGGTACAACTTCTGCTCACAAAGAACCTATCATAGATCGTTGATCCTCCTTGGTGCAACTCTCAAGTTTCACTGCCATGTTCACTGCTTCATAGCAACTGCCACGGTAACTGCAAGGTCAACAGGCTTGCCTTGCTGATCAGTCACATGACACCTTACAATAACCACTCCCCCACCTCCAAACCTCTTGCCTATTTACTTCAAAAATATAAAAGCACAAGAAACTTTTTGAAGATCCCTTGTATATAGCCTTGACAATGACAGCATTACTGGGAGTGGGGGGGTAGGGGGGCATTCTTCACTACTTGTACTGATGAGTGCAGATGTACTATGTACCTTTACCAGATCTAGAAATTCCAATGAATATTATGTTGAGAATCTAGTAATGTAAAAATGTTCAAGTTGGTAATAGTGATTTATATTCATTTGTTTTTGTTTTGTATTACAATAAAAAGTTCTTCTCATCCAATATGGCTGTTAAGTGATATGGACAAAACGAACATGGATATGCGTTGAGACCAAGAAGAAACATTCAAATGCACCCAAAGTACCGAGACTATCACACGGAGAGTCAAAAGGTGGGTATGCTCACCTATACATATGACGAGTGCATGGAGAGCGAAGGCAGCGAGAAGTGGAAGAAAGCCATTAAGGAGGAAAAGGATTCGCTCTACCAAAACAAAACTTGGATATATGTAAACAGAGAGAAAGCAATGGGCAAGAAAATTCTGACCAGTAAATGGGTTTTCAAAATAAAGGATGGTGGAAGACACAAAGCCAGACTGGGTGTGAGAGGATGCCAACAAAAGGAAGGGGAAATAGATTTCAAGGATACCTTTAGCCCAGTTGTTGACATGAATTCTCTTAGAGTACTGTTTGCTATAGCAGCACATAAGAATATGAACGTGCAAACCTTTGATGTGAAGATTTACTTCCTGCCTGGAGACCTTGAGGAGGAAAACTACACGGAGATACCAGAAGGATACAAGAACACTGGCAAGATATGTCTCCTGAAAAAGGCATTATATGATCTAAGACAAGCACCATCGCAATGGAACAAGAAGTTGACAACCTTTCTAAAAGAAGAAGGTCTAAACCAACTAAAATCTGACCAATGCATTTTTAAGAATGATGCCAATGGTTTGTTCATGGCCATTCATATGGATGACAGGATAATCATGGGAGGGGATGAAAGACAAATAGAGGAAATTTTGCTGAAACTGGAAAATCAATTCCAGATAACAAAAACCACAAATCCAATAGTGCAGTGGTTCTCAAACTTTTTACCTCTGAGCCCCCCTGAGAAGAGAAAATACTCTCAGCCCCCCAGCCTGTTTTTTTTTTATCAAAATAGAAGTCATGGTATATTTGACATTTCATTCAGTTTATTTTGTTTTTTCTACATACTATTTAGCAGTTATCTTACTCAAAATTAAAGTATCACAATACTAGGCCTACAATAAAAATTAGTTTTAACACTTGCAATTAACCAAAATATGTATTGAAATGAAACGATATTTAACTAACAAGTATTTAATTTTTTCTGCAAAGAGAATCAAACATTATATGTCAAAGTTCAGTGTGATGGATGGGCCTGCTTTTGAGAACAAAGTTTATCAACACGTGGCGTAATATCAGAAATGGCCACTCTAACTTCTTCAGCAATATTTAGCCTTGAATGATACTTTGACTTTATAGCTGCCAAAGCAGAAAAGCCTGTCTCGCATAAGTAAGTTGCTGCGAAAGGAATCAGGATTTTCAATGCTTTTTGGCTCAAAGTTTGGAATTCCATGCCAATATATATCCAGAACTCCAACAAAGACAGTTCCTTAAATTTACTTTTTAATGAAGTATCACTAGTGAGATCGATGAGTTGTTCTTGCTCATTTACACGTATATTCAGAGATGATGGCCCAGGAGCATTTTCAAATGGATTTTTAATCCAATTAAATTTATCAAAATCACTGCAAAAGTATTTTTCGAAATGAACTTTCAACATTATGAGATGATCAAGTAGGCAGCTTTTTATGTCCATTGGAGCACTGGATTATCAGTGTCTTGTACCATTGACACCAGAGTAGGGAACATGTCTAGCGTGTCACTTTCCATACTGTTTCTCCAGAGCTCTAATTTTCTCATGAATGCCTTCACTTTGTCATTCCAAGAAAGTACAGTTGTCTCATTCCCTTGAAGTGAAGTGTTGAGAATATTTAGTTTCTCAAATATATCTGTGAGGTAAGCCATTTTCAATAAAAAATCCTTGTTGCTGAAACTGTCAGCTAGTGAGTGATTTTCCCCATTTTAAAAAAAGGACATCTCATGCCTCAGCTTAAACATTCTCTTTAATTCCTTGCCTCTTGAAAGCCATCGAGCATCACTAAAAAACAACAGAGCAGTGTGTTGGGCACCCATTTCCTCACACAGCATTCTAAAAAGTCTAGACTTCAGAGGATTTCAGAGGACGAGGCTGCTGCCGAACTATCAACACTGTCTCTGGCATACGCGTTTTATAATTTCTGGTAAAGAGAATAATTATTAGTTATTTTGAAATCCATGATAATTAAAGCCTGTACTCATCAAAAGTTTTTCTATATGTATTTTTATTTTGTTACTTTTCTAATTGATTTAGGGCAGTTTTAATTTTTATCTATAGCAAAGTATGCTGAGCCCCCCTTTCAAGCCCTTCGCCCCCCCCCGGGGGTCGCGCCCCACAGTTTGAGAACCACTGCAATAGTCTATTTAGGAATACAAAGTGAGAGGCAACCAGATGGGATATGTATCTCTCAAACCAACTATGCAAGCCAAATGTTGGAAAAATACAACATGCAAGAAAGTCGAGAAATGAAAACACCCATGGCCACGACCTCACCAACAAATGATGAAGGAGAAAATGACACAAGACTTCCTTATAGAGAAGCTGTAGGAAGCCTGCTATATATGACTTCTAAAACCAGACCCGATATGGCATTTGCTGTAAATGTGGAAAGTCAAACCTTGGAAAATCCTGACAAAATAGTTGTTCGGAATGTGAAAAGGACCCTTAGGTATGTGAAAGGTATGCGAGATTCAGGAATAAAATATACCTCATCTGACTCCGAAACTGTGAAACTGGAAGCATTTAGTGACGCTGATTATGCAGGGGATGTAAAGGATAGGAAGAGTGTAACGGGATATGTAATTATGATGTCAGGGGGCCCAATATCATGGTGCTCTAGGAAACAGAGTATTGTTGCATTATCAACCACTGAGGCCGAATATATTGCAGCAGCTGAGTGCTGTAAAGAATTGAAATATCTAAAGACGTTGATAGAGGAGTTGACAGAAAAAGGGTGGAAGCTGAACTGTGTGTCGACAATCAGAGTGCAATCAAGCTAATAGAATCTGGACAAGTAACGCGTAGGAGTAAGCACATAGACGTTAGGTATCACTACATAAGTGAACAGTTGAAAGAGAAACTGTTCTCAATCAAATATTGTGACACTGAAACTCAGCTGGCAGACATGTTAACAAAACTGTTATCACCAGAGAAATTTACCAAGTTTAGAGACATTATACTTAAGAAGAAATAAGTCTGATTTTGATAAGACTGAGAAAATTTTAATTACATGTACTAATTTGTAATCTGAAGACCAAAATTACTAAGTGTTATTCAATTTAACTTTCTAAAAGAGCTAATAATGTTGATAACATTTTGAAATTAAGGAGGAATGTTGAGAATCTAGTAATGTAAAAATGTTCAAGTTGGTAATAGTGATCTATATTAATTTGTTTTTGTTTTGTATTATAATAAATAGTTCTTCTCATCCAATATGGCTGTTAAGTGATATGTAAGCACAACACAAAGAAAATCAACATTTTATACCCTGATATACCCTGGTTCTAAAGAGGTTAATTTTATGAAAAAAAAAATTATATTGGAACTATCCCTTGTCTGAGTTATATTTAAAATACACAGTATTTTGCAAGTTGGCTGTACACCTGTTGTCAAGTGGAATTATATATTCTGTTATATTTATATGTGGAAATTAGTCATAATGATTGGAATCAAATTCAAGAGCACTAGGCTGTATGCTAAGCATTAGATTACTGAAGTGACCTCAGAATGGTTCTTGTTATAACTCTGCTTGTATTGCACATACAGTTGCTTCCTATACCAGAGCAGTGGCAGACATATGAGCTCATGTCTAGGTTTGGTTGGCTGGTGACCTGTTCAGCTGCTCTGATATATACTAACTCTTTCAACTTCTTAGTTCAGGTTTCCAAGAAAGGAAGATCACTTAACATCAGAATCACCAAACATAAACACAACCAAAAAGTGGAGAAGTATCAAAGTTTAAAACAGCAAAACACTCCTGGGGTGGGGACCATTGTCAACAATGAATTAAGGCAGAAATCATCCACAAAAAAGAAAGCAGGATCACTTGCAAGGACAATCAGGCTTAAATGTCAGCTCCATATGCGTACAACAAATAGAATTATAACCAACAGCCTTATCTGGGCAATTCTAATGGTCCAGTGCAGTGTTTCTCAACCGCAGGGCCATGTCAACAATTATGCCAGGCCCTCATCTTATAGAAAAAAGAATTTACCAGGCCATGGCCTGACAAAGGTAGAGAACCACTGGTCTAGTATTCAAAAGGTTCTGCATTTCAGCCCAACCATCATCACTAATAAGAAAATAAAAATAATAATAATAATAAGTCTGCATAACAACATCTGCTCATACAAAGACATCAGCCAATGTCTAACAGAATATTTGTATAAATTGTACACCGAGAGACCAAGAATTAACATCTGTCAAATACGGATATCAGATGTTACATGGTAACAGTATTTTCTCTACAACTGTGCAGAGCATATGCATTATTTCTCATCGTATTATAATTAAAGATATCTGAATATAAAACTTTATGAGACTGCTAGATTTTGTATACGTCAGCAAATTACTAGGCCTATAGTACTGGTTTCTGGACCTGAGCTGCATCACTTGTTTCACTGTATCTGACATTTCAGTGTTTGGCTAGTGTCCAAATAAAGACAATAACCGATCACAAACCACACACACTACAGTCCACCCTGATCATGAAGAAGATGACAATTGCAATGTTCACCAACTACTAAATAAAATTAAATATGTGATTTGACTATCACCTGAAATGCAGTAACATGTATGAACACAGGTTGCAATAATCTGTCTTTAAGGTTTCATTCCTGCAACAAGGAAACACTATATAAAGAAGACAAAATTTACTATAATATTTCATGTCACCTCTATTAATTTTGTTATTAAGGAAATCATAATTTTTTTAAAAACTTACTACTCATTCATATCAACGAGTCTGAAAGGGGATTAAGGAATGGTAAAAAGCAAGAAAGCAAAAGATACGTATATATTTGGGGACCAGACAAAAACACTTCCAAAAGCAAAAACAGAAACAGAGTTCTAAGGGTAAGCAATTGCTCTTTTCTTTCAAACATAAGTTGCAGGCCTTCATGATACTTTAAAAGCCACAGACTTCTATGAAATATGCTTCACCTCTGCTTCTTTTCTGTCCTGGAGAGGCTGATAATACTCTCCCATGTGATTTTCTTTTCTGTTTATTCTGCAATCCAAGTTGAGGTGTTTTAAATACAGGACTCCTGCGGTCACATATTTTTGAATCCGCTTTGTCTGAAGGAGAGCCTGCCTCTTTTGTTTCAAGTTCTTCATGCCACCAGTCTGAGCTGGATTCACCAAGATCTGAAACATGCCAGCAAATTTTGATAATTATTTTAACAAACATTATCTGTCTCTCTGTGTGGTTTAAGGCTCATGCTGTTTTAAGTTATGGATCATGTGCTCTACTTCACACAGGTTCCTTGATTTCCACATGTTTTCATCACAAATGTCCCTCTTTCATTTAACAACCCAAAAGTATGAGGTAGTTGTATAAATTACAAATCAATTCCTCATGTTACATCCCCACTCATCGTTTATTTTGTCTCCTTTCTGCATAATCATAAAATTATCACTGAAATGTGCGAAATAAAGTAAACTGTTAGACTGGTTTATCTCTCACCAATGGCCCAAATGGGGAGCTGGGATAACTTGGTCAATATAGCAATGGACTATAGGCTAGATGTTAGAGAAACTTGGGTTCGTTTCCCGGCAGGGGCCAGAGATTTTTCTCTCCTTCGCAGCGTCCAGAGTGGCTTTGGGGCCCACTCAGCCACCTGGCCAATGTGTACCAGATTCTTCTGCAAGGGTAAAATTGAAGAGGCATGAAGTTGACCACTCACCTTTACCTAGTTCCGAGGTAAAGAATGGTTGGACTATACCTCCAACCCCCATACATCTTCATGGTGTGGTGCTTAATTAAAAACAAGGAAAACTTTTATCTTTTTACCTTCATTCCCCACCAAAATTAATACATCCAAAATGACGTATCCATACAAAGAAACAATTACTGGAATGAAACTATTTTCATTGTCTGGTATGTAACAGGCTGTCTTGTGTCTTATCATGTGTATCGGTGTTTGTATCACATGAACCCTTTTCCTTACCTTCAATATCATTTCTCAGCAATTCGTATATGCTTAAATTTTGGTCATTGTTTTCGTGTAACTCACAGTCCTCTACCGAAGTTATCATTCTTATAATACTGTGCATCTTTCCATTGTTTCTAATATTACTTGACCGGATGGGACCAACATTAAAACAATAAAAATAACTCCACACATAACCTAAACAAAACAACACTGTTCCTACTACACGTACGATACCACGCGACCGCCAGAACGGCCAGAACCGCCAGAATTTCAATTTCCATGGTACATCGAATTCGGGTGGTGGTCGAGACCGTCGAGACTTTTGGGGCTTCTGTGTAATGATACGTGTAGTCTGCAAGGGATATGTAAAGTTCGAGCCTTTGGAGGTTTAAGCAAATTTTGTGCTGTTCCGAAATATTACGCAATGTCAGAAGGTAAAGACCGCAAAGACAACAATGACAAGTACGGATTCCAAAATGCAACCTCAGTATATACCTTAACTGTGTGAGATTACATTGTATAATTCGATTGTAGCAACGTATATACAAGTTCGAGTAGATTCTAAAGGGTTCTGACGATTGTGTATAGTACTTTGAATTACTGGGTTTGCGGAATTTGCCCATCGTGCGGTATTGTAGAAACTAGAAAACGTTTCGGAAGCCGGATCTGTTTCCATCCTCAGGTGTAGGTGGGAGACAAAATACTCTGTTGGGCCCCTTAGAAAGACCTAACCTCAATCACTGGTCCAGTTTCCGCAGCGTCATGTTTTCTAGCTTCTAGAATACCGAACGATGGCCAAAGTCCGAAAACCCAGTAATTCCGAATGAAAATCTGAGTATGAAAAAAAAGTCAGATTGATTCATATACTTTGTACTTTGTTGTACAAAACTGAATTATATTTGTTTTAAAGGATTCTACTTTCCAGGATATTGTGCCGTGAAGTACATTGAAAGTCCACTGACGCTGCAGGGAACATGTCGCCACAATCTTCACAGTCTAAGAATAAGCCAAGCAAGAAACGAGCCTGAAACAGATGACAAACAGGCTGACATGTACCTCCAAAATGTTAGTTGTCATTCAACCATCTTTTCAACGAACTACACGGCATTATGTCCCAGAAGGCAGAACTCTTCACAGCAACTGCATATTTACTTTTTTTCTGTAATTACTTATTTATTGTGACTTCACTGCCAGAATGAAAACACATTCATTCCACAGTGTGCACAATGACAGAGTAGGCATAAAATAATATGAATATTATAACCAGATCAACTAACACTCCAAAAATATTGTGGGAATTTGTTAATAGAGAAAGAAGCTCACCAGAAAATACTCTCACTAGTAATATACACTTACAAGACGGAAATGAAATAGTCTCAAGTCTGAGTAGAACATGTAACATATTTAACAAAACCTACATAGAAACTGTAAATAAACTTATACTTGACAAAAATTTATTACATCCACAAACTAGTAATAACAATATAAGCATAAAGGATTCACTTGTCCTATTAGAAATAACAGAGACTGAATCGATTAAAGTAATTCAGGGCATGAAGAATAAAAAATCAGCAGGACTTTAGGACATCTCACCATATCTGCTAAAAAAAAGTACACCTTACATAATAAGGCCACTCTTAAAATTGGTCAATGCATCAATCAGAGAAGGCATCTTCCCTTCTAAACTAAAAAAATCAGTAGTCAAACCAATCTACAAAAATGAGATAAAAGAAGATGCAAATAACTATCGTCCAGTTACTCTTGTACCTGCCCTTTCAAAAGTTCTGGAAACAGTAGTAGCTAACCAATTAATAGCATTTTTAGAAAAACACAATATACTTAATAAATCTCAGTTTGGATTTAGGAAAAATAAATCTACTAACGATGCAATTGCCACAATTATTGAAAACACAATAGAAAGTTTGAATGATAAAATAAAATGCAACTGTGTACTATTAGACTTATCAAAAGCCTTTGACTGTATTCAACATAACATTCTCATGGATAAATTATACAAATATGGAGTTCGTGGTATACCTCATAAGCTAATCAAATCCTATCTCAGAAATAGAACTCAACACGTAAAAGTAACACACAGAAGGCAATCACATGAAAGAATATTTGTCAAGTAGCCTCCCAGTGAGATATGGAGTCCCCCAGGGATTGGTCCTTGGCCCATTACTCTTCATCTTGTATATAAATGATATCCCACATCTAACACAAGGCAGATCAATACTGTATGCTGATGACACATCAATACTGAATGTAGGACAAGATATGAATGAGCTCCAAAACACGACTTCAAATAATATAGGAGTGTTAGAGCAATACTTTGAGACAAATAATTTATTTATAAATCCATCTAAAACTCACCATATTCTCTTCCAGACAAAACAGTGCAGGCAGGAAAGTAATCTATAAATCCTAATAAAGAACAGGGAAATATAAAATGTAAAAAGCACAAATTTCTTGGGGGTAGTAATAGATAGTACCGTGTGTAACCGCAACATGCAGGAACCTCAGCAATGTTGTTGATTTACATTTTTAATTACAACGTACTACACGTAAACGAACTGTACTACAGTTAACAATAGATGATACAGAATTGACCCCAGCACCAGCAGACTTCAAGAATGACATCTGGTCTTTCTGAGGGACAAGCAAGCTGCAGGTCACTTGAAAACCCAGAACGGAGCAGGAAGTATCCCACTGTGTTTTCTGGGGATTTCAATGCTTAACTTCGACTGTGCGAGTCTTTGAAAATTTGAGACTTGACAGATACGAGTCGCAATAATTTTCGAAGGGGCGTACCAAGCGATTGTTAGCGTACCTCCATTTATTTGAGAGCTGTCAGAGGGACCGTGTTGTACTTAGGCCCAAATTAACATGGATCTGGTTAGGGATTGGCTGAATGCAAATGAGAGAAACACCCAAATTTTAGGTTCAGCCAATCAGCAAAATTTCAGAGGAGAGGAATCCAGGTGTTCCCGGAACCATCGGGACTTCTGCCTCTCCAGAGCAGTCAGTCATTACAAGGGAATAACAGCAGTCAGTCACCAACAGTGAGTAACAGGAGTGAGTAGCCAAAGGGAATAACCGGAGTCAGTAGTAACCTCCCGGATGTTAAATCAGTGTTGGCCTGAGTCCAGTGTACAAATTCAAAGTGCTACAGCCGGGTAATGGGTAATTGTAGTGAACATTTACAAAAAAAAAAGCAACAGTGTTGGTGAAGTGTGTGTTTTCAGTGTTCTCTCTCTCCTTGTGTGAGCAAGGCCCAGAAGTCGCCCTGAGACAGAATCTCGTCCTACCGTCTGAGCAGTCGGAATCCCAAACGCCTATCCATATCCCCCCTCCCCTTGTTTTCCCCATTCCAAATTCGTGGATTTCATCCAAGTCCACTGGCGCCCACACAAATCCAAATTCAGAATAATCCCACACCCTACCCTGAACCAGACAGCAACAGGAAGTGGCGGATGAAAGTGCAGACCACAAAGGGGCGAACGTGAAGGACATGTATAAGTGATGCCGAACGTGTAGGCGAACGGTAAGGACAGCAATAAGTGGCGACCAACTCGAGAGGCTTGAAATCTCACTGAGCGGTAACGACGACGACGACAAGAAGGAGGGCAGTAATACTTGAGCTGGGAATTACATATTGAAAAAACCTGCAGTAGAACTAGCTGTAACCTGTTCATAATTAACAGGCTATCTAAAATACTCGATTTAAATGAAAGAAGAATGTTATATTATGGTTTGATCTATCCTCATCTATCTTGTGGAATAATAGTATGGGGACATAGTGCTAAGACCCTCACTAGAAGAATTTTTGTACTCCATAAAGGGGTAGTAAGATACATTGCAGGGCTAAAACATCTGGAATCGTGCAGGGATAGCTTTAGAAATCTAAAGCTACTAAGAGTATACTAGCTGTATATACAAGAAACAATCCTATATGTAAAAAAAAAGTGTAACTGCACAGTGAATGAACAACCACACACATATAACACAAGAAATAATAAAGACTATCATATATATGGGCACAACTTAGAACTTTATAATAGTAATCCTTCAGTAGCTGGCTGTATCTTTAACAACATAAAAGAAATAGCAAAAATCAGTTCACAAGGGAATTGAAGAAGCTATTTATTCAGAGGTGCTATTACTGAGTGGAGGACTATTTGAACGATGAATTCTCGAATATTGGCTACTGATATGAGTAGAAGTATATAGTATATAATGTATATTAGCTGAAAGAATTGGCATATATCATTGTATCATGATCTACAGGATTAATAAAAGAATGAAATGAAATAAAACAGTATCAAAATTATATGAAATTTTAGCATTTGCTTAGTGTGACAGGTTACGTAGTTTATTTAACCGCCATTTACATAGTAACGTAGCATGTTATTGAAAATTCTTCCTTGTTCTCTATATACAAGTACTCTGTCAGTCCAGACTTTGCAAATGAGATCATGTCTAACTTATGTTAGAACAGCAGCTTAGTCACTTTAATGGTCTTAAGCTTGATTGCCACCAAGCTTAAGCCTCATATTTTCTATGTCTGGCTTTGCCTTGTCCAATACTGCAAACATGTTCATTCTCATGATTTTGTATGACCTCTGCTTCTTGTCTGCACAATGTTGTTATACAATCATATACATACAGAAAGTTGAAAACCATGTATTGTATTGTATTTATTACATGTTCCAGCACATCCATACAAGGCCGAAGCCACTGGATACAGAACCTGTCACACCAGAAGCTTGCTAAATCAGCAGGTAGTCAACAGAATAATGCATATAAATCCACAATAAATCGAGCATATGAAACCCTACACACCACTGCAACTACATAACCTACTATACTTAGTCACAGACCAGTGTGCACTTTGGAAAATTTCCATTGGTGCTGAGAACCTTGTTTGCAAGCACTGCAATTTTTAAGAGGTAGGTGTCTGCCACAGATTTCCATGTGGGGCAAGCGTAAGTCATTACTGAACTGATTGGTGCCTTATGGAGGGTTAGTTTAATGTTGGCACTTAAACACTCACTTTTCAATATGGAGTAAATTCTAATAAATGTTCTGAAGGCATTGGCTTGAATCATTTCTACTTGAAGTCTCTCTGTAATCCTCTTATTGGAGATGACATCTTAGTTACTAACTTGTCCTGCTTATAACATCTAGGTACAGACAACATAGAAAACATTGATCCTCTGTTCTAGTGCAATTGTTGCATTTGTAT